TTTGTAGCCAGCCCAGGCTCTGGGCAGCTGTAGCAGTGGGCTGGCTACAAACAGCTGTGCCGGGTTCACCATCTCTGTGCTGGTAGCAGGGTGGCGACTGGCAGCTGGGATGCTGCAAGCCCTGCTCGGAGCAGCCCGGGCTCCATCACTGGCAGCAGTTTCCCGGAGCCAGGGCTGGCCGCGGCATGCCAAGCAAAATGGCCTCGCGTACCACGCTCGGGACGTATGCCAGGGGTTGCCGACCTCTGTCCTACATCGTTGCCCAAACAGATGGTGGGTCTATCAAGAAAGATTTCTGGTAAGAAACTGTCTGTGCTTGGCATCCTTAAATCAATCAGCTCTATGTAATTCAATGCCCCAGTCTCATGTTGTACCTCTAAAGCAGCATTTCTCAACCCCTGGGTCACGACCCAAAGGTCCTGGTGTGAAAAAGGTTGAGAACCATTACTCTAAAGTGCCTGTTTTAAAGGCCCAAAATCATATCCATGCAACTGAAAGCAGTTTCCAGTGTTGTAGTCATCAGCATGTCTTCCAACACTGGATACACTGCCCCCTGAAGATGATGTTTCCTCATCATGAAAAGTTGTTGTGCCTAGTGTGAAAGAATACCTGCTAATTATGCAGAAGTTAACACAAGCAATAAACTACCTGCAGTATAACACCCAGGACGCTCCCAGGCACTGAGCTTACTTTTTTTATATGGACAAACTGGCGGATATCCATATCATCATCTCTGTTCTTGACATCAGGTCTGACAGTCTGAACCACCTGGCAGACCACTGGCACAATAATGTCCCTCCAGGAAACGGACAGCGACTCATTGTAGAGCAGTTGCTGAAGCAGTGCCATCATGTGGTTATGATTAGCAGAGCTGAAAAGAATTGAAGTGATTAAGTAGGGGTACTAATGAAGCAGTATATGAAGATTACTGCATTTTTAAATGCTAAGCAGCAAGTAGTTTGAAAAATACCTTACCTACACACACACCCTCTACCTCCCCCAGCATCAGGAGTATTCCACATTAACTCTTTGTCTGGATCTAACATTACTAGTAGATTACTTCTTGCTAAACATTTCTAGTATTTTTTTAAGCATAGTTCTGTAAGACAAAAGCAGTGCACTTGATTTTTAAATCCTGTTTTAGATAAAATGCAAGTCTCCCTTAAAGGTAAAAAAAAAAAAATCAGTGAAAATTAGTCTGACAGGAAAGGGCTTTTGAATATTTTACCCAAAGCCTGCCCCTTTGATGCATTTTAAAACTTACAGCAGCCTCTCCATGGCTTGTTTCTCCCCATTCTCTTCCCTCAACAGATCCAGATTGCTGTGATGCCAGCCTAAAGGAGTGAAAAACAGGTCCTTGGATTTCTCCTCCACCCTCCGATTGAACAATGATTCTATGAGTAAAAGGTCAGAGAGCATATATTTGTTATAATACATGAGCACGTTGTCTTTTAAAGATCCATTTTTTTAAATGTGAACAGAAAACTTCAAGAGCCTTATGCAGCTCAGAGTCTTTGCAAATATTTTAAAAGTTAAACTTGGGCTGGAATCTAAATTGACATTGCAAGCACTTAACACACTATATTCCACTGCCGTAGTTGATGATGCCATCATACATATTTTATATGCTGTCATGCTACATACCAAATGGTTTGGGGGTTTTTCTCCTCAGCCAGTTCATGGTTTTTTTTAGCTTAAAAAAGCAACCACATGTAATTTAGTAACTATATCCTGCTGCTGCCTGATTTGGACAGTAGTCTTTTTTTAACTTTAAAAAAACAAACAAACAAAAAAAACAATTCATCTAAATTTATTTAACTTTGTTAGAGAGAACCAGAGAGAGATGGTACTAATAAAGATCCAATTATTTCATGCAGTGAAGCAAGCAAGGTCCTTTCATGAATAGGAGTGACTCCATTTAAGTTTGGGGGGTGATTTTTCTTTTTAATGTTTGAAGGCAAGTTTGCACATGCTTACTAAGCCCATGTAAAGTGGCAAGTATTCACTTCGAATTCGGCCGATTCAGAGGCACGGATTATAATCTCCAAATCGAATCGCTGTCCCAATTCGATTCAGCTGAATCGTATCCAAAAGATTTGGCGCCGCTTCGGAGATTCAGCCATAGACTAAACAGGTAGCTGACAGCTGCCTCCAGCTGGTAAATCTGTTGGGGCTGGGGCAAGCTGCCCAGCTGGGGTGGAGGGACACGTTACTCAGTGAGGGGGGGATGAAGCAGGGGCCAGTTTGTGGACACATCAGTGCTCTGAGCAGGGCCTGTGCCCTGCTTCCACTTGCCCAGCTGGGGTGGGAAGGTGAAATGCAGACATGGCTCGCTCCAGGCAGAAGGGGACAAGCAGCAGCAGGGCATAGCCCCCACTCCCCATGCTGCCATGCCCTTCCCTCGTACCAGCTGGCAAGCAGCGGCAGGGCAGAGTCCCCCTCCCAGCACAGATGCAGGCAGAGCGAGCCGCACTTGCATCACAATCCGCCCCTGCTCCCTGCCCCGGCTGGGCAAGCGACAGCAGGGCATAGCCCCCGTTCTGAGCACTACCACTCCCATATCCCATGCCCTCCCGCACCAGCTGGGAAGCAGCGGCAGGGCAGAGTCCCGGTTCCCAGCGCTGATGCTAGCGTGGTAGCACTTGAACCAGGGGCTATGACCTACTGTCGCTTGCTCCGTCAGCACGGCCGGGGGAGGAGGGGGGCACGATGCAAGCACAGCTTGCTCCAGGCGGCAGCAAGGCATAGCTCCTGCTCCCAGTGTTGCTGCACCTGCAGAGCTGGGAGCAGGGACTCTGCTCTGCCACCGCTTGCCAGCCGGGGCGGGGAAGGGAAAGGGATGCAGGCACAGCAGTGCTGGGAGCAGGGGACCCTGCTGCCGCTTGCCTACTTCTGCCTGGAGCGAGCCACGCCTGCATCCCACCCCCATCTGGGCAAGTGGCAGTAGGGCTCCCAGCGCTGCCGCGCCCGTATCCCGCACCCCAACCCTCCTCCCTGAGTAACACACTCCCCCTACACCAGCTGGGCAGCTTGTCCCAGCCCCAATCCCTCCCTCTCCCTTCCCTCAACCCCAAAAGATTTACCAGCTGGAGGCAGCTGCGTCAGCTGCCTGTTCAGTCTTTGGCTGAATCTCCAAAGCAGCCAAATCTTTTCTGGAACTATTTGGATGCTTCGAATTGATTCAGAGCTTTTAATTAGTCTCCCAATTCGATTCAGATTCGGTCCCCAAATCAAGCCGAATTTCCTGCAAATCAAATCTGCTACTGAAGCTCTGCACAGCCCTAATGCTAGTATTTTCATGTTACCAATCTCCTCTGTCAACACCACTTATCCCTGTATTGGTCGTATTACATAATCAATAATACAAATGAAATCATGAAGAATGCCACAGTAAGAAATATATAAAGTCATATTATATTGTACTACACAAACACACACACTAGGGGTGTGTTTTTTCTATATACCATGAGGTACCAGGCACAGCTTATGAACATTGAGATGGTGGGGGGGATGGAGCATCCCACAGGAGCGCACCCCCCCCC